TAAGACCCCAGACGCTGCTCATCAAAGTAGATGTAGAACGTTTTCTTTACAAACTGTTATACCAATTGAGCTAGATGTTACCCGAGACCATGGTCCCCAGCCCTCAGCCCAGTAATTCAGTCCCTCAGGGAGTTTGGATGTGTTTCTGGAGCTTCCATGACCTTGCCTTGGTCAAGCTGTGCTAGCTTCCCCAGTATTGTGTACTGTCTTACCCTTCACCAAAGTTACCACTTATCTATTGTCTATTTAGTGTTTTTCCCTCCTCACCAAAGGATGGTGAGATTTTGTCACATGTACTTTGGGCATGTAGTCAGGAGGGACCAGTGCCTGGAGAAGGACATCATACATGGTAAAGAAAAGGGTCATTGAAAAAGAGGAAGACCCTCAATGAGATGGATTGACACGGTGATCGCAACAATGGGCTCAAACATACCGTTGTGGTGATGGCGAAGGACTGGGCCCGGGCAGTGTTTCGTTCTGTTGTACATAGGGTCACTATGGGTTGGAACCAACTGGACAGCACCTAACAACATATTTTCAACTCTTATTTTTATTGATGTATTTAAGACTATGAATATTCTTCTGATAACTCTTCTAATTATTGTAAAGATTCTGATGTGTGGTGTTTTTCTTATTATTTCTTAGAAACTGTACAATTTTTGTTAGTATTTCCGGTTTGAATTCCAAGAAGTTGTTTGATTGTTTATTTTAATTTTCAGATGAAAGTGCATTTTAATTTTTTTTCTTTTTAAAAAATTTTGTAGCTTTTATTTTAATCAGTGTGTGCTGTTTATATTATTTCTACTTTATAGAAAGTATTGAGGTTTTCTCTGGGGTTAATTTGTAATTACTTTTTATAAATGTTACAAGCTCATTTGAAAAGAAGATGTCTTCTCTGGAATCAGGGTATAGAGCTTGATACATATACATAAACTCTGCCTTGCTGATTATGTTAAGTATTCCATATCCCTACTTAGTTTTCTCCACATTCTCTATTTTTATGTCTTAGATTAAGATTACTGTGTTAGAATCTCCCGTTATTAGTGTGTTTCTGCTTATCTTTGTAGCTCCTGTGGTTTCTGTTTTATGTAGGTTTCTGTATGTTATTTGGCCCAGAGTTGTTCTTATGTGAATGTTAATATTATCACCTTTGCATTATGAAGCATCGTTTTTGGACTCACTTAATGCTTTTTTGGCCTGAATTCTCCCTTACCAAAACCAAACCAAACCCATTGTTGTTGAGTCGATTCTGACACATAGCAACCCTGTAGGACAGAATAGAACTGCCCCATAGGGTTTCCAAAGCTGTAAATCTGTACAGAAGCAGATTGCCACATCTCTCTCCCGCAGAGCAGCTGGTGGGTTCGAACCACCAACCGTTCAGTTAGCAGCCAAGCACTTTAACCACTGTGGCTCCGGGGCTCTTGAATTCTCCCTGATTGCATATAAAAGATTAATCTCTGCTTTCATTTTGTGCATATATCTGATGCACCTTTCACCTCTCTCCTTTTTTTAGCCTTTCTCTATCACTTTTGTTATAGACATGTCTCTTGTGTACAGCCAAGAGTTGGATTTTGTTTTGTGATCCAGTCTAAAAATCTTTTTCATTTAGTAGATGAATTATGCCCATTTCCATTATTGTTGGTTTTGGTTTGTTTTTACATTATTGGCAGGACTGATGTTGGTCTCAGATTTGTCATTTTATTTTATCTTATAGTTAAAAACTGTGTGTCTTTTCTATGCGATTTCTTTTTCTTCTTTTTTCCTTTTGATATTTAGAAAGGTTTGTATTTTTATTCCGGTCTTTGGCTTTATATACTAATACATTTATGATAATATTCTTAGTCTTTCTTTCTTTTTTTTTTAATAAAGTTATGCTTCTGCTTTTGATTTACCTCTAAAATTTTCCTCTGCCTACTACCTGTTATAACCAGGACAATCAAAAACCCAGTTCTGCTTTTACCTTTTTCCCTACCTTTTCCTTTCCTTTATTTTTAGAGGTGTTTTTTCTACTTTGTCAAAGAATAAAACATTTACATACATGCTTCTATTCTTGTCCTCCTCACCTTTGCTTTAGTCTCAGATCAATAATTAAATATATTCTACCCTTACTGTAGTTATTTTACACATTTTTCAATCATCTTTTCAATCATGAAGCTCATCCTATAGTAGGAAAAGCTCCGGGTGCAATAGTCCCTATTTCTTACATGTTTAAAATTTTCTTTAGAGCAGGGGTGATCGAACTGTGGCCTGTTTTGTAAAGCCTATGAGCTAAGAACAGTTTTTACATGTTTAAAGTGTCATAAAAAAGAAAAAAAAAAAGAATATATGACAGGGACCATATGTAGCCTGCAAAGCCTAAATATTTATAATATTTATATAATATTTATAGTTCTATAATATTATGTAATTTATAATATTAGAAATATTTATAATATATTTATAATATTTATTTATTCTCTGGTCCTTAACAGAAAACATTTGTTAGTCCTTGCTCTAGAGCCTTGACACTTGAAGAATAGTTTGATTGGTTGTGAAGTCCTTGACTTACACGTTTTCACCATGAGTTTCTTTAAATGTTGCTCTATTGATGTTTGTTTTATACATTACTATTCAGACATCTGATGACAACCTAATTTGCTTTTCTTTGTAAAATCACTTAAGTGTTTTTCGCCTGGAAGTCTAGAGGATTCTTTTAATGTGTAATAGTCTTTTTATCAGGGTAATGAGAATTGCAGATCCATGTTTCTAAATACACAGTAGGCACTTTCAATATAAAAATCACTACTACTTTTATTTCAGGAATGTTGTCTTTAATTATAGTTTTAAATACAAGTTCTATTCTATTGTTTTTCTCCCTCAGAGACCACAATTAGTCTTATTTTAGATCTTCTTTACCTTTTATAGCATCACTTTCTCTCTGATCCATTTTACTACTTTCTTTATTTAGGTTTCATTTTCTTGGTACCTTTTATTTCTGTTCTATATTATCCTTACTATATGTTTGGTCATACCTGTTCTCTCTTGGACACCTGCTAATTTATTCATTTCTCAGACAATTTTGTTTTTTCTTTAATTTCTTTTTTCAGTTTGGCCAGCTTGCATTGCACATCTTTCTGTTGTGTTCATATTTTTTATTTTGAGTTTTAAAATTTCTGATTCATGATGTTCTTTAATATCTGCAAATGTTTGTTTAATTATAGTTAACCTATGTTGGGTGGGTTGTGTTAAGATTTTCTGTGCTTCATGGTTACCTGCTTTTTGTTTGTTTGTTTTTTGTCTAGTTTTTGTTGTTGTTCTCATTTTTTAGTTCTTCCCCTCAAGTAACTTTGTGTAGATGCTAGGTTATTTTGAAGATGTTGTTCATGCTTATTTGTATTGGACTTTTTTGAATCAACAATAGTAGGTACTCTTATAGAAGAACAGGAAGTAGTGTTTGGGTGACTTGTTCTGTTTCTTAGACAAGAACACCCTCTTCTGTTGCTTCAGTGAAATGCAGTTATTTATGTATACTGTATGGGCCTTTCTTAGGAGGTGGGATTTGTTTTCTTTGGATTCTTTTCTATTTATTTCATTCAGCTGAGCTCTTCTCTTGGCCACTTTCATTTTTTCTCTTACCACCAAGACTCCAAGACACCTCGTACTTCCAATGCAGCTTTCTCTCTCCCAGAAGCTATGCCCTCCCAGATTCCTACTCCTGATCCTCTGTGTTTTTCAAGTCCCTTTCTTTTAGATCCCTCATAGAAAGTGCTCTGATCTGCTGGGTCTCATCCTTGCTTTAAGTATTTTTCTATTCCAGGATGGGCCCTCTCCTTCCAGACTAAACTGTGGTTAGTTAATGTTTACTGTGTCACCTCTGTAAACCAAAAAACCAAACCTGTAGCTGTTGAGTCCATTCCAACTTATAGGGACCCTAGAGGACACAGTAGAACTGCCCCATGGAGTTTCCAAGGAGTAACTGGTGGATTCAAATTGCCAACCTTTTGGTTAGCAGCTGAGCTCTTAACCACTGCACCACCAGGGCTCCTGCTACCTGTGTAGTCCTCTCTAATGTGTAGTCTGCATCTGACTCTGATCAGATGTGAGCTCCTGAGCACACTTTGCTGGCCTAGGGTGTTTATTTCCCAATTTACGTGTGAATTATGTAGGATTCTGTATCCTAATTATAATGTAGGCATAAGCTATGGGTAATTTTGTTTGCTTTTCTTTTATGGTAGTTGGGAGGAGGTGTGGAGAGATTCTAATTTAAGTGGCTGCCATTATCCTTTGAGAACCTGACCTTATAACCTACGAAGAAAAATAAAGTAAAATAAGCTAGAAAAAGAATAATGAAGCAAACAAAGAAAGCAGAAGTAAGGGCTTAATGATGATACAAGCTGAAACTAATGAGTTACAAAAGTTAAAAAACCTACCAAAGTTGAAAATTATTTTAAGATCTGTTAAGTGGTGTTGGGAGAAGAATCAACATTCATGAAGCTTAAGGTAATTCATCAAAAAAGGACAGAAACACAAAAATTAGGAAAGACGAATGCATTGTAAACAGAAGTACAGAGAAGATAAGATATATAAAAGAATAAAATGTACAATGCTATTCTAAAATTTGATAATGTGATAGAATTACTGACTTTCTAAGCAAATATAAATTATCAAAATTGATTCAAATGGACAAAAAATAAATAAATTGGCCAACAGCCATCTTAAAAAATTAAAAAGTTATAGCAGGTAACTGAGATAAGAAATCTTGGAAGGAAATCATGTTTTGGTTAAAAAATGGATTTTTATAAGATTTTACTTCAAAATATCTGTGTAAAAGGTCCAACAATAGTGGAATGGAGAGGCTGGAGTGCAAGAGCAAATATATACTATAAATGCAAATTTGGGAGTTTACCACCATGTAAATAAAGCATGCATTGTTGGTGTGCATTATCAAATGCTTACAGACAGGTGAAAAAGAATGTGTCACTCTATCATATCTTACTGATTTTCATGTTTGCTTACAGACAGGTGAAAAAGAGTGTGTCATCCTACCCAATCTTACTAATTTTCCCTCACTTCCTTGTCAACCTGCTATTTCTCCAGGAATAACTGATATCTCTTCAATACAGATTGAGAGTAAGTATGATGATTAAAGATGTAAGTACAGGTGATCATTGTGCCACCAGGGCTCTGAGGTAAAGTTAAATAATATTAAATCATATGAACTTAATACTGATTATAGCGTATGTCTAGTCACTAATATTATTTCATTTGAAAAATATACTCTAAAATATAAATATACTATTTAAGATTCAAGTACAATAACTTTGGGCCCAAGATAAATTTTCCCAAAGCACTAAAACAAAAAGTGTAAGCATAATTATTGGAGTTTCTACACATATATGTAAGTAGGGAAGAGACAACTGGAATATGCCCTGAACTGTGCATTTTATAAATCCCCTTATGTATCCCTTCTTAGAAAGGGAAATGACTTCTCAACTTCTCAGCATTTTCATAGTGGTAAATGTTATACTGCTTCAAGAAAACCTTGGGTGAAAATTATTTTTGCTGTTTTAGGCCCTTTCCTTTTAAGTTTTACAGTCCGTATTTTGAGAGATTAACTATCTGTAACTTCCAAACATTGATGAGTATGGGTTATAATCTCTTTAGGAGAGAAGATTATTGAACAAATGAAACAAGTAAAGGAAGAAAGAAGATATCTGGAGAGAATTAGAGAAGAACTAATAAAAAAAGTTGACAGGCTATTTGAACAAAGCAAATTGAAGCGATATCATGGTAAAGTTTATTGTGTATATTTTATCACAATAAAAGTAAACTGAAGTTTTATAGAATTTGTCTAAGTTATCTAGTGCAGCTATAAAAGAAATATCACAAGTGGATGGCTTTAACAAAAATTTATTTTCTCACAGTTTAGGAGGCTAGAAGTCCAATTTGGGGTACCGGCTCTAGGGGAAGGTTTTCTCTTTGTGTCGACTCTGGAGGAAGGGCATTGTCGTTTCTGAGCTTCTTCTCCTGGTCAGTCTTCATGTGGCTTGGCATCTCTCTTTCCCCATCTCTGCTCTGCTTGCTTATTTAATCTCTTTTATATCTCAAAAGAGATTGGCTCAAAATACACCCTACACTAATCCTACCTCATTAACGTAACAAAAACAATCCATTCCTAAATGGGATTATAACCAGAGGCATAGAGGTTAGGATTGACAACACATATTTTGGGAGGACACAATTTAATCCATAACAAAATCAATACTTTTGGAATAATAAAGTTAAAATTAATGTTTACTATTTTACCATATGGTTATAAGTGTTACCTGACTTAGCTAAGTTCAGTATAGAAAACATGAAATCATTGTTTAGTTCTTAGTTTTATACAATAAAAACAAGATGCTTTACTTAGGGTTTTTTTTTTAATTAAAATTTACAAGTTTGTTATACTTATATTCATTTATTTGTTTATTCCTTCTATTCATTTATTAAATAGTTATTTATTAAGTGCCTATTAAATCCAGCCACTGTTCTAGGGGCTGAAGAGACACTGATAGGCAGACACAGTCTTGTCTCTGCCTTCGTAGAGCTTACAGACCAGTGGGGAAATGATAATCAAGTTAGGCAGTAATGATACATGCTGATGAATGCTGTAATAAAGGAATTACAGGATTCTATGGGTAAGTATACATGAAAAGAACACCTAAATTAGATGGAACAGATCAAGAAAGGTTTTCAGGAAAACGTGTTAGATGTGCTAGGGTCTGAAGTGTACTTCCTCTTGGCTCTAGGCCTTCAGGCATACTTTTCCCTCTGCAGTCTACTTCTCTTCCTATCTTCTCTTCCCACTCCCTCTTTCCTAGTCCACCTGCCTATTTCCTACTGTCATTCAAGCTCAACTTAAATATAATTTATTCTGGAACCTTTCTTTGATTACCTTAGACTCCCCTAGGTGCTTAATTTTTTGGTATGTGTGTCTGCCTTGCTAAACTGAAGGAAGGAACGAAAGAAGAGAGGGAAGGAGGGAATAAGGGAGAAACGAAGAAAGAAAAAAAGCAAGTGGTTTTCTAGCAATAGAATTAGAAACAGTGTTGTTAGGACTGGTGGAAATGGAGAGATGAGCTAGGGTGGAGAAGCATAGCATAATGGCTTGGGAGATGTTAAATTTGAGAGGCCTGCATTTTGGGTTGTGTTTGAGAATTATATAAGAATAAAAGGTATATATGGAATTAGCTGGTTTTAGGATTCTCAATTTATAACAAAATTGTTTCAGTACTGGAACTGACAGAAGGTCACAAACAATGTCAGGAGATTTTTGTTTGAAGGTTCTGCTTCATGATGTTAAACTGTTATCCTGGTAGTGGTGGCAAGGACTCAGCACTTGGTCATGTTCAAAGGTGGTTTTATCAGACAAATTTAAGCAATGGACTAGAAATAATAGAACCTGGATTCTAGCATCAGATCAATATTTTACTTAGACAAGTTATTTCTCTTCTTTGTGTCTCACTCTCTGTTTATAAAATAGGAATGATCAGTCACTTTCTATCTAAACAGGAATGTTTCAAAATAAAAGGTATGTATGAACCATCAAATATTTATTGAGTCTACTATGTGCCAGGCATTGTTTTAAATACCTCAGTGAACAAGATAGACATAATCCTGCCCTTAAGGAGTTTGCTTTCTGATGGGAAGAGGTAGACAATAAACAAATAAGAAAATATTAGGTACTGATTAGAGCCGAGAAGCCAATTAAAAGAGTGTAGTAAAGGGCAGGGGAGAAATGCTTAGCTAGAGTGTTCAAGAAAGGTATTTCTGAGGAGATATCTGAGAGAAAATTTGAATCATGAGGAGGAAGGCATATAAACAGCTAGAGCAAAAGCAGTCTAAACAGAAGGAGCACTAAATGTCAAGGTCTGGAGACAGGGATCAGCTTGTGGTATTAAGGACCTGAAGTAAGGCCAGTGAGACTGCAGCATGGTAAACAAGGAGAGATGTAGAGGGAGACAGAATCATAAAGCTTAGCAGGGGACAGATAGGCCAAGTCAAGAAGTTTGAATTTTCTTCTAAGTAAGGTGGGAAGCCATTGAAAGATTTTAAAGTAGGGATTTACATGATTTGAAAAATATTTTAGGAAGATCAGAATGTCTGTTTTATGAAGTATAGCCTGTAGAGGAGCAGCTCTCTAGATAGTAGTGGATTGACTAGACGATGGAGCAGTGGAGAAGGTGGAATGTGCCAGATGCTGGAAGTATTTTGGTAGTAGTACCAGTGAAATTTGCTGAGTGATTGGATGCAGAGCATGAGGGAAATAACTAAACTCTTGAGCTAAACTTCCAAATGATTATATAACTTTAATCAAATCACTTTATAATGTAGCGCCCTTTCTGTACCTTAAAGGTAGTTAAAATGACAAATAAAATTATAGTTTCTGTAGAGAAAATATAATAAATTCATTATTTAAAAGTCTAGTTGTTATTTGTTGAGGCTATTGTGTAGAAAACAGTTTTAACATAGCAGGCCTAAGACTGCTGTCTTTAGAAAGACCTGCTTTCAAGGTTGACACTAGGCTGGCATCTGGGAAATTGGATTTTGAGAGTGTTTTCACTATTCTCTAACTGATAAGGGTAGTTTACTTTGTCTAAACTATGCAAACAATATGGTTTAGGCTGAACACCTGCTTTCCTTCTGGGAGTCTGGAATTTTGGTGTATATGTGACCAGCCCCTAATAAAAACCTTGGACACTAAGTCTAATGAACTTCCCTGGTAGACAACATTTCACATGAGTTGTCACAAATTTGTTGCAGAAGCAATTAAGTGCATCTTGAGTGACATTACTAGAAGAAGACTCTTTGAAGCTTGTGCCTGGTTTCCTCCATACTTCTCCCCTTGAGCCTTTCCATTTGCTGACTTGACTTTTTATCCTTTCACTGTAGTAAATCTTAGCTGTGAATACAACTACATGCTAAGCCCTGTGAGCCCTTCAAACAAATCACCAAACACGGGAGTAGTCTTGAGGACCCCAGCATACCTGTGTACTTGTGCCAACCTTTTTGTTGCACACTAATTAAGTAAATACATAATTCTTTCATAAACTGATTTGGAATGATTGTTCAAACATTAGCACATGCTATAATCAGAGACTTCTGGGAAGATGGCATTGTGAATAAATTGTAAACCCCAACCTTCTCCTCAAGAACATCAATAAAAGTAACTAGAATCTGTTACAAAGGTCTATAAAAAGTCAGAAATGATGGACAAGAAATAGCAATAAGGAACTGAGAAATGAATAAAAACCAGGAGAAATCATAAAGTAAGGGGAAGCAGCTCTTCCACTGTCCCTGCCATTCCCTTTTCCAGCGGGACACCCAGGTAGCCATCCAGCAACCTACACACAATGCTGTTGGGTGTATGGTTCTCAGGCACACAGGAACGGGCCTCTTAACCTTGGGCTCCAAAACCAGAAGCAAATTCCCAGAGCAGACAGTGTAGGGAGCGTTAGAGTAAGGTGAGGCCCAAGAGCTGCCCAGCAACTATCCAGCAGGTGACCCACACCGACAGTGGGTGCACAAATCTCTGTGGCACAGGAAGGGGTCTGGTATCCTCTGGTTCTGAAACCAAGGGTGAATCTCTTGAACAGATGGGAAGAGTGCCTCTAGCCCCTCCCCCTCTCAGCACAGCCTTCTTCAAATCATCCCACACCACTGGCTGGCAATAGATCTTGGGCACACAATAAGGAGCCCACTAACCTGTGTCTCCAAAGCCAAAAGCAGATCTCCTGGGCAGACGTTTTGAGGCCCCCCAGCCCCTTCCCCACCCAGCATGGTAGAGAAGATCCTGGTGCCACCACCAGGCAGCACCCTGGTGGCCTACACACAGTGCTGGTGGGCACATGAAATCTCCCGGGCTCAAGAAGGAGCCTACTAACTTCTAGCTCTGAAACTAAAAGCAAATCTCCTAGGCAGGTGGGACAGGGCACCTCCAGTCACTACACCTCTGAGTACGGCAGAGGGACACTTGGGAACTGTCCTATACCACCAGCTGGCTAATGGATCTTGGGCACACAGTAAGGTGCCTATTAACCTGTGGCTCTGAAGCCAGAATCAGATCTCCTGGGCAGATTGAGGGGTTCCTCCACCCTTACCTCTCCCAGCGCAGCAGAGAGAAGACTGGGAACCGTCCAGCAGACACTTAGTAAATGACCCAGGGTGTAACACAGGTCACAGTACGTGAACAGTTGGCCCTGGCACAGAGAGGCCCAGCTGGCACAGTGTGGGCTGAGACTCTTGAGCAGCCAGACCTGAGACTGAGTACCTTAGTGAGCACAACACAGGCTGACGTTCTGGTTTAAGTCCCAGGAAAGAGCAATGCATTGGGCAAAGCTCGTGCCATGGTACATGAACAGCTGGGCCTGGAATAGAGAGACCCAGGGATGCAGCATGGATGGAAACACTTGAACAGTTGGACCTGGAACAGAGTGGCTAGGTGAGCACGAAGTGAGTGGGAGTTCTCGTGAGTCCTGATAAAGAGTGGTGTGGTAGGCATAGTACAGGTAGCAGTGCATTAGCAGTAGGGCCAAGGATGGAGAGGAGTAGCGTGCACAGCAGGCGCTGAAACACCTGGGCAGACAGACCTAGGACAGAGCAGCTCAGCAAGACTGACAAAGAAAAAGAGAACATGCATATATCTAAAATTAGAAATGAAAGTGGAGTTATTACAACCAATCCCACAGAAATAAGAATAGTAAGGGAATACTGTGGACAGTTGTATGTCAACAAATCAGTTAACTTAGAGGAAATGGACAAAGTCCTTGAAACATGTCAACTCCCTCCATTGACTCAAGAAGAAATAATGGATCTCAACAGACCCATAACAAGTTAAGAGATTGAATCTGTAATAAAGACCTCCAATAAAGAAAAGTCCAAGAACAGAATACTTCACTAGTGAGTTCTACCACATATTTATGGAATAAGTGATTCCAATCCTACTGAACTTTTCCAGAAAACACTTTTTAACTCATTTTATGAGGCGAGCATTACCCTGTTACCAAAGCCAGACAAAAACACCACAACTACAGACCAATGTCCCTAGTGAATATAGATGCAAAAATACTCAACAAAATGTTAGCAAACTGAATCTCAAAACATATTAAAGGGATTATACACCATGATCAAGTGAGATTTATGCTAGGAATGCAAGTGTGGTTCAATGTTAGAAAATCAATCAATGTAATATACCACATTAACAGAACAAAGAACCATATAATCATCTCAATCGATACAGAAGAGGTATTTGACAAAATTCAACACCCTTTTATGATAAAAACACTCAACAAGATAGGAATAGAAGGGAAAATCTTCAATATAATAAAGGGAATAGAAGGGAAATCCTTCAGTATAATAAAGGGCATTTATGAAAAACCTAGAGCTAACATCATATTGAATCGAGAAAGTCTGAGAACTTTCCCATTAAGATCAGGAATAAGACAGGAATGCCCACTCACACAACTAGTATTCAGCATCATTCTGGAAGTCCTAGCCAGAGCAATTAGGCTAGAAAAGTAAATAAATAAAAGGTATCCAGATCAGGAAAGAGGAACTAAAACTATCCCTTTGACAGATGACATGATTCAAAATCCCAAAGAATACACAAGAAGGCTATCAGAGCTAATAAATGAATTCAGCAAGGTGACAGGATACCAAGTCAACATGCAAAAATCAACTGGGTTTCTATACATCAACAAAGAGCACATGGAAAAGGAAATTAAGGAAACATTACCACTTTACAATAGCATCTAAAAGAATAAAGTACCTAGATATAAATTTAACCAGGGAAGTGAAAGGCTTATACACAGAAAACTATAAAACATTACTAAAAGAAATCAAAGAAGACATAAATAAATGGAAGAACATTCCATGTTCGTGGATTGGAAGGCTTAATATAGTTAAGCTGTAAATACTACCCAAAGTAATCTATAAATTTAATGGAATCTCCATCAAAATTCCAACAGCCTTCTTTGCAGAAATGGAAAAGCCAATCCTCAAATTTATATGGAAGGACAAAGGACCATGAATAGCTGAAGCAATCTTGAAGAAGAATCAAATAGGAGGACTCACATTTGCTAATTTCAAAACATACTATAAAGCCACAGTAATTAAAACAACCTAGTATTGGTATAGTAATAGACACATAGACTAATAGAATAGAAGTGGAAGTCCAGAAATAAATCCATACATCTACGGTCAACTGATTTTTGACTAGGGTGCTAAATCCATTCAATAGGGAAGGAAGAGTCTCTTCAAAAAATGGTGCTGGGAAAATTGAATGTCCACATGCAGTAGAATGAACAGGATCCAAGCCTCACACCATACACAAAAACCAATTCAAAATGAGTGAAGGATCTAAATGTGAAAACTAAAACCATAAAATTCTTAGAAGAAAATGTAAGGGTGAAGCTGTGGGACCTAGTTTTCAATGATACACTACCAGGTATGACAACAAAAGCACAAGCAACAAAAGAAAATAGAAGAATGGGACGTCATAAAAATTTAATATATTTGTTCATCAAAGGACTTTATCAAAAAAATGAAAAGAATATACAGATTGGGAGAAAATTTGGGGGACCCAAATATCCAATGATGGTCTAATATCCAAAATATATAAAATACTTCTACAACTTAACAACACAATGACAACCCAATAAAAAACGGGCAGACGTTTTTTAAAATGTCTGTCAAAGTGAACATTTTACCAAAGTGATTTCAAATGGCCAATAAGCACATGAAAAGATGCTCAATGTCACTAGCCATTAAAAAACCCATTGCTGTTGAGGTGAGTCAATTCCGACTCATAGCAACCCTATAGGACAGAGTAGAATTGCCCCACAGGGTTTCCAAGGCTGTAAATCTTTATGGAAGCAGACTGCCCCGTCTTTCCTCTGTGGAGCAGCTAGTGGATTCGAACTGCCATCCTTTTGGTTAGCAGCTGAGTGCTTAACCACTGCACACCAGGGCTCCTTCATAGCCACTAGGGAGATGCAAATCAAAACCACAATGAGATACCACCTCACCCCTATTAAAATGGCAACTATTTAAAAAAAAAAAAATAACAGAAAACCACAGGTGTTGGTAAAGTTGTAGAGAAACTGGGAGCCTTACCCATTGCTGGTGGGAATGTAAAATAGTACAGCCACTGTGGAAAACAGTTTGGCGGTTCCTCAAAAAGTTAAACCTAGAACTGCCATACTACCCAGAAATCCTAATCCTAGGTATATACCCCGAAGCAGTGAGGGCAGGAATATAAACAGAAACCTGTATACCAATTGACTGCAGCACTTTTCGCAATAGCCAAAATGTGGAAACAATCAAATGTTCATCAACTGATGAATGGCTAAACAAAATGTGGTATATATATTAATATATACACTGGAATATTAGTGAGCCATAAAGAAAAATGAAGTCCTAATGCATACCACAACATAGATGAACCTTGAAAACATTATGCTTAGTGAAATAACTCAGTTGCAAAAGTACAAATAACTATATGATCTCATTTATATGAAATAAGTGATATATAGAAACCAAAAATTGTTACTGGTTATCAGGAGTAGGAGGGGAGAAGGCAGAGGTTTTGTCTAGGGGGCATTAAGTTTATGTTAATGGTGGTGGAATAATTTGGAAAATGATAGGGAGAATGGTTTTACAACCTGAAGAATGTAAGCAATGTCACTGAATTATGCATGTAGAAATTGTTGACTTATTGTATGTTTTGTTGTGTTTATTTTCACCACAATAATAAAAAAGCATAGCTATAATCTAAATGATAATGATTTTGAGAAAAAAATTAAGACAAAAATATTATTACAATGTCATATTTTTATAGTATATGTAATACTGTATGGCATCTTTATGTAGACAACTTTTTTGCAGATACTATGTCTATAAAAAACAATACAAAAGCTTAAGTAGTATTTCTCAAATGAGTTCACAAATCCACTCTCAGGGGTCTACAAATTTGTAAACAGAATTTTTAAATTTGGGGTTTTCATTTCTATGATAATCTGAAAGAAATAAACAAAAGCATATTCTGGTATACCAGCATGCACTTTATGTTCCTGTTAAGTTTGTATTTAGAATCACATTGGTGTCAAAGTGATTACCTAAAATGGCAGTGCTTAATTTCTAATTTTCTCAACCCAGAGAAAAGTTGGAGAAACTCTGCCCTACAAAATTAAGGAAATTTAGTTGGAATAATTTTGATAAGTGATGAATCAGAGTCAGCTGATTTCACAAAATATGTCATTAAGGGGGCTGGAAAAAATATGAAAAAGTCTGAAAAAACATGACTTTTTCTTTCACAGTTTTAGTTATATACATAATGAATTCAAATCAAATTATGAAAAAAGTAATCAAAATATATACATTTTGGTATAGGTAGTATTTTTTAATGAAACAATTTCATGCTTAAAGGAGAGCTTGGTTGTGGTTCATAAATTTGTCACTATTTTACTATATTTTTAGGCAAGTTCTTTTGTTATCCAACAAACATTTCTCCCTTAGCTCCAATAAAGAAGCATTTAAGGGAAAAGAGAAGAGGAGGAAAAGAGTTTAAGTTGACATAGACTCTAAGGTCCTTTCCAGGATGAAAAGTTTAATCCTTTAATCAGACTCAAACTTTCTTTTCCTGTAGCCTGTGATGGTTGGAAGAAAAAATACTTTGAAACAAAGAAAGTCACAGCATCCTTGGAGGAGGTTTTAACAAAACTTCGAGAAGATTTGGAACTTTACTATAAAAAATTGCTCATGCAACTTGAAGCCAGGGAAATCAAGATGAGACCAAAGAATCTGGCAAATATCACAGACTCCAAGGTACTGCTAAATGTGTTCGTTTCTATTGAAAAAGTTCTGTTCAAAATAAATGTTAGGTATTATATTTAGGATGCTTTGGGCCACAGGTAATAAAATCTTGACAAACTGGCTTAAACAATAGGAAAATTCATGACCTCATAATAGGAGAGGGTTTCTGAGGAGATACAATCAGCAATTTAATGATGTCTTCAAGGACCTAGGGGCTTGTTGATATTTCATCCTTATTTTCAGTGTTGACTTCATTCTAAGGCTGCTTTTTCTCATGGTAGCAAGAGAGTTGCCAATGGCAATTAGAGCTATGTGCCTCCAAGAGAAGAAAGGAAGCCATTTCCTGAAACATGAAATGTATAAAATTTTCCCATTAGCCTGCTGGGGGACCAACCAGGCCTACTTCTTGGATCAATAATAGTTACCAGCAAATGCTATGTACTGACTTACACTAACTAAGCTCTACCTCTATTCCTGGGAATGGAGTCACTTTCTCTGATTATATAGGAAAGAGATGCATACTTGATGAAGTAGAACAGGGGGCTAACAGTGTCCACTACTGTAATAGCTTCAGAAGTCCTCTAACTTCAGGGGGAGAGATGAGAATCACGATCAGCACAAACCTGATTACTATAAGATGGAGATGAGACATACCTCCACTCTCCAACCTTTTTACCTATTCTAATACCAGCCATCCTCCCCACAGCACTCTCAACTTGTCTGCTGGGTTCTGTAATCCATTGCATTGGCCAGAGAACTCACATACCATACTTCTAGTTAAGTGGTTTATTAAGGAAGTAATAGGCTACAACTCAGGATCAGCGTCAGGAAGTATGTAGGCGAAGTCTGGAAGGCTCCCCCAAAGTGGAGAGCACATCCCTTCATTATTCAGTGCAGGGCAGCTCTCTGAGCTCCTCTCAGCCATGCAAACAAGCAGGCCCCTATCTCTGCTATGCATGCCCCCTCAGGACAGGCCTCCTCTCAGCCCTCTCAGGACAGGCTCCTGTCAACCCCCTCAGGACTGGCTCCTCTTGGCCCCCTTAGGACAGGATCCTCTTTTTGGTCATTCATGCCCCTCTCAGCCATGCTGGCTTCTCTGCCTTCTGCCTCCCTGCCTTCGGCCTCTCCATTGCCAGCTGACCCAGCTCATAGCCAATGTAGCGGTTTTGTTCAGCTCTCTTAGCTACATTCCTAGCAGCAGGTTTCTGCCATCACCACCAACTCTGTCGTAGGGCCCCTTTTGGGCCTGTCACTGTCTTCAGTGTTATAGCCCGTGACCCATGTTACAGCTCTTTTAGGAGAGTCCTTGCCTCCTCTCTCTGCTTCTTCTCTCTTGACTTTTCTCTTTTCTGCTTCTTCTTCCTTCTCTTTCTATCTGCCAAACTCTGGGGGTTGGCTGCATATATAAGCAAATTCCTGGTGAATTTCAAGGCATGGCCCTCCCACCAGAGCCACAAACTGACCAATCCCCTCTCAGTAGGCCACAATCACATCATTTGCCTAGTAGGCGATAGTCATTCATTTGTGTAAATATATTGACCAGTCCCTACAAGGTGTGTAAAATAGACCAATTGCAGGGCAGGCTGCAGCCCAGGGTCAGACAAAAAGTATCAAACCATTATGCTGTTTACAGCTTACCCAGGAAATATCAATCAACCTGGATAAAAGTAACAAACTCCCTGGGGTAGAAAACTAGGGCAAACTCATGGCTTCGGGGAAAAATCTCTTGAGCTATTTTTCCAAAGAACCAAAACAAAAGGCCACATAAAGGAACTCATTTCACCACAACTATATGGCAGTTTTTTGTTTGTTTTGTGTTTTTTGGTTTTATAAAACCCCACAGGATCTAAAGGAACTGGTAGTCTAAAGAAATTATAGGCAGTCCCCAGGTTATGAATGTCTGACTTACATACAGCCTGTAGTTACAAACCAACCCTCATAAAGCCTATTATATTAAAAATTTGAGGTACATAAAATGGTTTGTAATAACAAATGGGTGCTACTTTGTGATGCATATCAAAATATTATTATTACTATATTATTATGTTAAAGACATTTTAGTGTATCTGGAAGTGTTTCTTTAATGTTTTTTATACATAGAGAGGTACACCATATACTATATACTAAGACAAACATTTGACTAACTGACGTTAGATACGAACCATACCTAACTATTCTGACTTACATACAAATTCAACTTACAGACAGACTGGGGACTTCCTGTATATTAAATTTTGATCGATTCATATTTTCTTAAAATAGAGTCTTGAATCTTGACAGATCAGAGACAAGAAGCTTATTCTATTCCTGAGTAACTCCACAATATAATTAAACAACAGACAAAACAATTTCAGAGGCCATTTAACAGCTTGATTTTTGTTAGGGTAATCCCATTTACCCAAAAATGATTTTAAAATGTTAATTGTGATTAAGAGTAAGGATTTAACTATAGATGTGATGAAATATTAAAAGTTTATAATTTTAGATCAATTTAATATAAAATCCAAATAGGTTCAAATAATGGTTTGTCCCAATTACATTACACTTTTCTTTTTCTTTATTTTACTGTTTTATCAAACTGACTATAAGATAATGTTTTTTCACAAAGACAACTTAAAATTCTTAAGTAACTTTTTTGGTGAGAACCATTATACCTCATAAACTTTTCTGGGTAAAAGTAGCTAAAAATGTTTCTTCTGTTAATTTTTTTTTTTTAAATGGGTTTCTTATATAAAATATGTTAGTTTGTTGTTAAATATTTTAAGATAGTTCTAATCTGACTCAGTTAATGAAGCACTGTACCAATTTCTAAAGTCTTGTTAATATCTTAAACCAAATATATTCCTTTTGTAGTAACAAGTGTTGGTTTTTATGATGCTAATTAAATAACATACAAATATGTATTTATTTTGGTAGTAAATGAGGAATGGTAGTAGAACAGAAGAAAAAGATGTCCATAAAATGCAAGAAATGAGCAGATAAATAGTAATAGATTTATTTTATAGAATAGGTTCTTTTCATGATTTGTTCTTTTGATATTTGTTACTTCCTACTTTACATTTGCAAGTCAGTTAAAAATAAAAATGTATAGTTGTTATGCATAATAAAGATGTCTTTATATATCTCACACAGAATTACCTTATAATCCAGATCACTGAAGTACAGCATGCAATTGACCAACTTAAGAGAAAATTGGATACTGACAAAATGAAACTTTTAATAGAAGTTAAGGTAATTTACATTTCTCACAATCAGATTATAAAATTTATCTTGAAATAAAATATTTTAGTGTTTTAACTTTGGATGTCCATAGTTTAAGGTTAGTCAGGATTGACTGTCTTAAAATTGTTACCTTAATATCAAAGAGCATGAGTGAAAAGATGCAAGAAGAATAACTCAGTATTATGAGGAGCTGCATTTTATAACAAGGCCAAAGTAAAATTTAGTGAAATTTCACTAAGAAGAATTAGTTAAAGGAAAAGGACTCTGTGACCAAGAGTCTCAATAAAATGTTTTGAAAGAAGTTAATTATCTTATATTAGAGTTATTCATAAATAATGCTAACAAACCATTGAGCTCTCCTCTGGATTCTTGTTTAATTTTTACCCCTCTCTTGGATGATTATTACATTCTTTCTGGTTATTTATATATATATATATAGTAATATATTATTTAATATCAACCATGGGTCTTCTACTAGTTGTTAAATTTCCCTCAGGGCCGAGACTGTGTCTTAGTTAATTTTATTTCTCCCATAAGACTTTTTGTATAGTAGAGCTTAGTTGAGGGTACTGGGTAGACTTTATACTTATTTGATAAGAATTGTGTATAATTATCATATCACAGGAGTAATCTCTGAAGTATAGATGTCATAAAATCTCTTTTGTTGAACAGAAGACGGAAGAGGATTGTACATTTTCACACAAGTATCCACACAGGACAGGAGAATAAGATTGATAATTATATGCATGTCCTCAACTCACCTCTTTATTAGAACTAGCTTAGTGGTACAAAATAATGACCTCTTTCTAGAATCAGCACTGCCCAATAGAACTTTGTGTGATGATGGAAATGTTCTATTCCTGAACTGTCCAAAAGAGTAGCCACTGGCCCCATAAGATATTGAGCACTTGAAATACAGCTTGCATGACTGAAGAACAGAGTTTTATATTTTAGTTAATTTACTTTATTTAAATTTAAATAACTACATGTAACAAGTGGCTACCAGATTGAACATGCAATTATAGATTCTTTTTACTAGCCGCGTACTTGAGGCTAAGCCTTTGCTCAACACTGAGAAACTTAAAACTTAAAATACAGAAATGAAAAGGGCAAAGAACGCTTTGCACTAAGAAATAATTTGTTCAATGAATGAAAGCTCAGTGTGTATTCCAGAAATGGAGAGAAAGCCAATGTGGAAAAGAGAGATTTTGTATGTACACTTAAGGATAATTGGGTGGTTGGAAAGAAAAAGTAATAACCGCCCCCCTATACCCTTCAGTTATGACCCTCTCCTGTCCTTTTCTTCTGGAAATCTTGCACATTAGATTCTACCATCTTTGCATATTGTAAACTTATAAGTATAACTTAAGAATGCTATGAACCCAAATTAGAACTATTAGTACAGAAACAGTAAAGATAAATCAAATAAGGAGAAAAAAAAGTTTTCAGCTTACAGACTGGAAAAAAACTTCTACATTTAACCATAGTGCCTGGTTAGCACATAGTAGACATTATAATAAATATTTATTGAATTCTGGGTGATCTACCCAAAACAGCCCTACCTGAAAGATTCATAAAGGGCAGAAAACTTAGCCTGAGTCTCTTGCAACAGTTTTTATTCAATAGTATATCATAGGCAGTGATTCTCAAACTTTAATGTGATTGTCACCTAAGAATTGTGTTAAAATGCAGGATCTAAGTAGATCTGGGAAGAAGTCTGAGAGTCTTCGTTCCTAACAAGCTCCCAGGTGATGCTAATGCTGCTGATCCACAACAATACTTGGAATATCAAGGAGTGTGGTACCAGATGGGTTGAGTCTGAGTCCCGGCTGTGTTACTTACCATTTTTATATCTTAGGCAAGTTACTTAACCTCTGTGGGTCTCAGTTGCCTCAACTGTAAAATGAAGGAAATAATAGTATCTGCCTCAATAAAGTTTTTGGGAGAATCAAAGGGGTTAATACAATTAGAAGAGTGTTTGCCATAGAGCAAACCCTACCACACTCTATAAATACCTCTTCAGTTCTTAGGGCTGGAAATTTATTAGTATTATTATTTCTACTATTTTCTTTACACATTAAGAACAACTGATTTGAATTGTGAGCAAAAATTAAGATTCTTACTCAAGTTTTTACAACAGTTAAATTTTATTATTCCCACGAGTCTATCAGTTTATCATACTGTGCTGGCTTGCGTGTTGCTGTGATGCTTGAAGCTATGTTATCAGTATTTCTAATACTAGCAGAGTTACCCATGGTGGGCAGATTTCAGCAGAGCTTCCAGACTGAGACAGACTAGGAAAAAAGACTTGGTGGTCTGCTTCTGAAAAAATTGGCCAGTGAAAACCTTATGAATAGCAGTGGAACATTGTCTGATATAGTGCTGAAACATGAGCCCCTCAGGTTGGAAGGCACTCAGAATATGACTGGGAAAGAGCTGCCTCCTCAAAGTAAAGTTGACCTTAATGATGTGGATCGAGTAAAACTTCTAGGACCTTAATTTGCTGATGTGGCATGACTCAAAATAAGCAGAAACAGCTGCAAACATCCATTAATAATCAGAACATAGAATGTACGAAGTATGAATCTAAGAAAATTGGAAATCATCAGAAATGAAATAGACCGCATAAAGATCAATATCCTAGGCATTAGTGAGCTGAAATGGACTAGGATTAGCCATTTTGAATCAGACAATCATGTGGTCTACTATGCTGAGAATGACAAATTGAAGAGGAATGGTGTTGCATTCATCAGCAAAAAAAAATTTCAATATCTATCCTGAAGTACAGTGTTGCCAGTGATAGGGTAATATCCATACACCTACAAGGAAGACCAGTTAATACGACTATTATTCAAATTTATGCACCAACCACTAATGCCAAAGATGAAGAAACTGAAGATTTTTACCAACTTCTATAGTCTGAAATTGATCAAACATGCAATCAAGATGCATTGATAATTACTGGTGATTGAAATGTGAAAGTTGGAAACAAAGAAGAAGGATCTATAGTTGGAAAATATGGCCTTAGTGACAGAAACGACACCAGAAATCGCATGATAGAATTTTGCAAGACCAATGACTTCTTCATTGCAAACACCTTTTTTCAAAAGTGTAAAAGGCAACTATACACATGGATCTCCTCAAATGGAATACACAGGAATCAAATTGACTATATCTGTGGAAAGAGATGATGGAGAAGCTCAATATTATCAGTGAAAACAAGGCCAGTGGTCAACTGCAGAACAGACCATCAATTGTTCATACAGAAGATCAAGAACAAGTCCACAAGAGCCAAAATACGACCTTGAGTATATCCCATCTGAATTTAGAGACCATCTCAAGAACAGATTTGACGCATTGAACGCTAATGACCGAAAACCAGACGAGTTGTGGAATGACATCAAGGACATCATACATGAAGAAGGCAAGAGGTCATCAAAAAGACAGGAAAGAAAGAAAAAACGAAGATGGATGTCAAAAGAGACTCTGAAGTTTGCTCTTGAATGTAGAGTAGCTAAAGCGAATGGAAGAAATGAAGTAAAATAGCTAAACAGATTTCAAAAGGTGACTCTAGAAGACATAGTGAAGTATTATAATGAAATGTGCAAAGACCTGGGGTTAGAAAACCAAAAGGGAATTTCTGAAGCTGAAAGAACTGAAAAAATTCAAGACTCGAGTTGTAATATTGAAGGATTCTATAGGAAAAATATTGAATGATGCAGGAAACATCAGAAGAAGATAGAAGAAATACACAGAGTCACTGTACCAAAAAGAATTGGTCGACGGTCAGCCATTTCAGAAAGTAACATATGATCAAGAACTGATGGTAATGAATGAAGAAGTCCAAGCTGCATTGAAGGGAATGATGAAAAACAAGTCAGCAGGAACTGAAGGAATACCAGTTGAGATGTTGTCCGTGTCACTCACTTGTCTATGTCAAGAAATTTGGAAGACAGCTTCCTGGCCAACCAACTGGAAGAGATCCATATTTGTGCCCATTCCAAAGAAAGGTGATCCAACGAAATGTGGAAATTATCAGACAATATCATTAATATCACACACGAGTAAAATTTGCTGAAGATCATTCAAAAGCAGTTGCAGCAATACATCGACAGGGAGCTGCCAAAAGCCAAACTGGATTTAGGAGAGGACATGGAACGGGGGATATCATTGCTGATGTCAGATGGATCTTGGCTGAAAGCAGAGAATACCAGAAAGTTTTATTGTTTTATTGACTATGCAAAGGCATTTGACTATGTGGATCATAACAAATTATGGATAACATTGTGAAGAATGGGAATTCCAGAACACTTAATTGTGCTCATGCAGAACTTGTACCTAGACCAAGAGGCAATCGTTCAAACAGAACAAGGAGAAACTGCGTGGTTTAAAGTCAGGAAAGGTGTCTGTCAGGGTCGTATACTTTCATCATACATACTCAGTCTGTATGTTGAGCAGATAATCCAAGAAGCTGGACTATATGAAGAAGAATGCCTCATCAGGATTGGAGGAAGATGTATTAACAACCTGCGATATGCAGATGACACAACCTTGCTTGATGAAAGTGAAGAGGACTTGAAGCACTTACTGATCAAGATCAAAGACTGTAGCCTTCTGTATGGATTATACCTCAACATAAAGAAAACAAAATCCTTACAACTGGACCAATAAGCAACTTTATGATAAATGGAGAAAATACTGAAGTTGTCAAGGATTTCATTTTTCCCACAATCAATGCCCTGGAAGCAGCAGTCAAGAAATCAGATGACATATTGCGTTGGGCAAATCTGCTGCAAAAGACCTCTTTAAAGTGTTGAAAGCAAGGATGTCACTCTGAGGACTAAGGTGCACCTGACACAAGCCATGGTATTTTCAGTCACCTCATACACATGCAAAAGCTGGACAAAGAATAAGGAAGACCGAAGAAGAATTGATGCCTTTGAATTACGGTATTGGCAAAGAATATTGAATATACCATGGACTGCCAGAACGAACAAATCTGTCTTGGAAGAAGTACAACCAGAATACTCCTTAGAAGCAAGGATAGTGAGACTTCATCTCCCATACATTGGGCATGTTATCAGGAGGGTCCAGTCCCTGGAGAAGGACATCATTCTTGGTAAAATAGAGAACAAAACCAAGGAAGACCCTCAACTAGATGAATTGACAGTGGCTGCAGTAGTGGGCTCAAGCATAGCAAAGGTTGTGAGGATGGCACAGAACCAGGCAGTGTTTCGTTCTGTTGCACATAGGGTTGCTATGAGTCAGAACCGATTTGACGGCACCTAACAACAAAAAGTTTATTTTTCCTATATGCTAATAAGAGGAGCCCTGATGCAACAGTGATTAAGCACTTGCTAACTGAAAGATCTACATTTAACACCAGCGGCTCCCTGGGAGAAAGATGTGGCAGTCTGCTTCTGTAAAGATTACAGCCTTGGAAGCCCTATGGGACAGTTCTACTCTGTTCTATAGGGTCACTATAATGTTGTTATGAGTCAGAATCAACTCTAAGGCTACTATGGGTTTTGATTTTTTTAACATATGCTAATAATGGAAATTATCTGATAGCATATCTAGCAGTAAATAAGTTTGCTTATTAAACAGGATTATGATCTATGCATTTACTTAGTAATTAGTGATAGTAGAGGAACGGAAGGCAAAAGAGAGAAGACAAAGCATTTTAGAAAAAAACTAATTTACATGAAAATTATGATGCACTTTTAGAAGGGTAAGGTGAGGCTCATTTTTTAATTCTCTTTATAGATGAGAAAACAGGCAGTTTCAGATTTACGCATATTGAAAGCTGAACTGGCACAGAAGAAAATTAATACACCTTTACAATTTCAAATAGGTATGCCAATTTAAAAGTTTGCTTGTTAAAATTTTAAAATATTTATTTGAACAGACTTGTTTAACCATTGTTCTCCTTGGCAATGTTTTATATAAATCTTAATGTTTATATTTCTTTATTTTTCATGTGGTTAGCACAAAGTGTTTCATGAACTACTAGATGTAACATAAAGCAAAATGGTGGCTATTTAGTTATTTTTGAAGATTTCAAGTCTGTTACACATTATTTTATAGTACTATACGTTGTAATTATTTTTCATTTTAAATTATCTTTAAAATTAACAGCTATCATGACCATAAAATCTAATTATAATGAAAACTTTACATAATCATATTTTAATAATTTTTTGCATGTAAATACTTAATTTGTTCATTGTATTTTAATTAACACACACCCGTTGCTGTCAAATCAATTCCGACTCATAGCGACCCTATAGCACAGAGTAGAACTGCTCCCTAGGATTTCCAATGAGTGGCTGGTGGATTCGGACTGCCAACCTTTTGGTTAGCAGCTGTAGTGTGCCATAGCTCTTAACCACTGCACCACCAGGGCAGTTCTACTCTGTCCTATAGGGTCACTATGAGTCGGAATCGACTCAAGGGTAGCGTGTTTGGTTTTGGTTTATTTTAATTAAAATGAATCTGGAAATCTAAAAGAACAGGTGTATTGAACTTGCTATTTAAAGCATCCAGAGATTAGTATCTAAGAATTTAATTTTTAAAATTTATTTTAGAAATATGAAAACAATAGTGATTCAGCATATACCATGAAAATAGTAGCTTTTACATAAACAATTGTGTAAATAGGAAATATAATATTCTTATAACATGGTAGAATCATCATTTTTTCCAGTTTGTGCAGGAGAGGTGATTTGCAGGGAAGAGAGAATTTATGAAAGTCCAGGGTTCAAGGATGCAGATTTTTAATCTCAATATTTAGAGGAACTAATATGAGCCACCACTTATCTGTCAGTTTGTCATACTGTGGTGGCTTGAGTGTTGCTATGATGCTAGAAGCTATGCCATCAGTATTTCTAATACCAGCAGGGTCATCCAAGGTTGATAGGTTTCAGCAGAGCTTCCAGAATAGGACAGACTAAGAAGGACTTAGCCATCGATTTCTAAAAAACTTGGCCGGTGAAAACCTTATGAATAGCAGTGGAACATTGTCTGATACAGTGCCGGAAGATGAGTTCCTCAGGTTGGAAGGCACTCAAAATATGACTGGGAAAGAGCTGCCTCCTCAAAGTAGAGTTGACCTTAATGACGTGGACAAAGTAAAGCTTTCATTTGCTGATGTGGCATGACTCAAAATGAGAAGAAACAGCTACAAACATCCATTAATAATTGGAACATAGAATGTATGAAGTATGAATCTAAGAAAATTGGAAATCATCAAAAATGAAATGGAACGCTTGAAGATAGATATCCTAGGCATTAGTGAGCTGAAATGGACTGGTGTGGACCATTTTGAATCAGACAATCATGTGGCCTGCTATGCTGGGAATGACAAATTGAAGACGAATGGTATCACATTCATTGTCAAAAAGAACATTTCAAGATCTATCCTGAAAGTACAACGCTATCAGTGATAGGTTAATACCTGTATGCCTACAAGAAGACCAGTTAATATGACTGTTATTCATATTTATACACCAACTACTAATACCAAAGACGAAGAAACTGAAGACTTTTTACCAACTTCTGCAGTCTGAAATTGATCAAATGTGCAATCAAGATGAATTGATAATTGCTTTGGATTGGAATGTGAAAGTTGGAAACAAAGAAGAAGGACCAGTAGTTGGAAAATATGGCCTTGGTGATAGAAATGATGCCAGAGCTTGCATGATAGAATTTTGCAAGACCAATGACTTATTCATTGGAAATACCTTTTTTCAACAACATAAATGGTGACTATACACTGTGATCATTAAGGTTCTGTGTCAACTTGGCGGGGCCATGATCCTCAGTGATTTGGCAGTTATGACGTAGTTTGGCAGTCATGTAATGATGTAATTATCTCCATGATGAGATCTGATATAATGTAATCCTTCCATGATGGGATCTGCTGTGAGTAGTCAATCAGTTGAAAGCGAGTGTCCTTGGGGGTGTGGCCTGCATCCAGTATAGGGGACTTTCTGGCAAGGCTCATGGGCTTTTGCTTACTCTGGATCCAGCAGCTCGCTCCTGTTCATCTGACCTCCCATTTTTTGGACTTGAGCTAGCAGTTTACCTGCTGTCTTGCCTGCTAATCTTGGGATTTGTTGGTCTCCATAGCCTGTGACCAGAGGCCTGCTGTCTGACCTGCCAATCTTGGGTTCACCAGCCCCTGCTGCTGAGTCAGGAGAAGCCTCCAGCCTGACCCACAGATTTGGGACTTTCAGCATTTACAACTGCGTGAGCCATTTCCTTGATACAAATCTCTCTCTATATATGTATTTATATGCATTACTGGTTTTTCTTGTCTAGAGAACCCGGCCTAAGACACATGTGGACCTCATTAGATGGAATACACAGTAATCTAATTGACTGCATCTGTGGAAAAAGACAATAGAGAAGCTCAAAATCATTAGTCAGAACAAGGCCAGGGGCAAGCTGGGGAACAGACCATCAATTGCTCATATGCGAGTTCAAGTTGAAGCTGAAGAAAAATAAAACAAGTCCACGAGAGCCAAAGTACAACCTTGAGTATATCCCACCTATATTTAGAGACCATGTGGTAATGCAAGTTTTGATGCATTGAATGCTAATGACTGAAGACCAGACAATTTGTGGGATGACATAAAATATTAAGAAAGCAAAAGATCATTAAAAAGACAGGAAAGAGGGAGACGGCCCAAGGTGGTGGCTTAGTCACACACACTGTGCTATCCTTCTGCAGCAAAGAACTGAGAAACCAAGTGGAACAGATACAAATGACAATCTGTGCATGCAGAACAGCAAACAGAAGGATGAAGAATTACATCCAACACCAAAGGAAATGAAAAATTGAATGAAAGCATCTAACCAAGAGACTTAAAGACTGTAGGCACCCTACCAGCTGGCCTAGCACAGCATGGCCATCTTGAGACAAAGTGAGCAGCATTCCTGAGTAAGGAGTACAGGAAGGCAACTTCACAGAATCACCAGTAGGAGACAGAGATACTGTCTAAACAAACCTGGAGCAAAGCCAAGTGAGCAGAACATGAACTGGATCTAAGGAGAGAAAGTGCAGGAAGGTAGGTGAGAGCCCTAGGGTTCCAGGTGACCACAGAGCAGGGAGGGAGCCAGAAAATAGGACAGAACTACTCACCAGTGGTGGTCCCTGATTATCTGGGTGGGTAGCATTGGCGAAGTGGAGGATCCTTGGAATGGCAGCTAAAGATCCCTCACCTGACTGGACTCTGGACAGTCCTCTCCTCCTGACATTTGGTTGGGGCCAGGTCCTTATCGCCAGCTGCACTCTGTGGGGAGTGCCTCAGTGTCCATTTCAGAGACTAGGGGAACTTGCTACCCCCTTCCTCCTCTCCTTGCCCTCCCAGTGACCAGCAGTGAGTCCCCCCTCCCCTCCTTACCTGGTGATCCACAGCATGCACACTCCCATGCTGTCACACCTACACTGGAGGCTTGGGCCCATCCAAGCCCATCTCCATGCAGTCATGCCCATGGCAATCCATGTCATGTGCTCCCATGCCAGCAGATCTGCAACTGGGGACTCACGATTACACCCAACCATTCCCACACAGCCACACCCACTGGTGATCCACAGCACACGCTCATGCGCAGTAGGATCTGTAACTGGAGGCTCATGCTGGCTCACTCCAAACACCCCTGCACTGCACTGCTCTTCCTGCCCAAGGACCAGTGGCACAAGTTTCCATGGCGTTGACCCAGTGACCAGTGACCTGTGTACCCTCGCCCTGATCACATGGCAACTGCCAGTGCACATGTACAGGACCCAACCCAGCACCCAGCAAGAACACTCCCTGTACCCATGCCCAGGTGAGCAGCCAGACAGACACATCACCTCACCAGCAATGCCAGTCATATCCTAACAAGTGCCAGCTACAGCCCTGCCAACCAATGAGCAGGAGACCCTAGTGCCCTCATCTAATGTCCTCCCAGCTGCAACAGCACACATTCCACACCCAAACAGTTCCTGCAGGCCATCTTCATTTGCACTGGAACCCCTTGATAACTCACCACTACTGAGATGCCAGTTTGTCCACATACAGCGGACATACCCTGTCCATTAGGATATCACTCCCTCACAGCAGATATGGGGAAGTCCTGTCCTGACCTCCAGAGAACACACTAACCACTAGCACAAAACTTAATGCCTCAGATACAACAGAAAATAACAAATCATATGAGGAAGCAGGATAAGATGGCTCAAACACGTGAGCAAAATACAGGGGCAGCAAACATTCCTGAAGAAGAAATACTAATGGAACAACCTGACAAGGAATGCAAAAGGCTTATATATAGGATCTTCAAAGAGATCTGGGAAAACACAGACAAAACCCTAGACGAATTCAGGAAAACAGTACAAGAATAAAATGATGAAATAAACAGGCAATCAGAAACCACACAAAAACAACAACTAGAAATCCAGAAGATTAACAATAAAATATCAGAAATAGACAATTGAATAGAAGGATATAGAAGTATAATGAATCAACAGAAGAAAGAATCGATGAAATACAAGACAAATCCCTTGATACTAATTTGAGGAACAATCAGAAAAAAAGAACGGAGAGAAATGAAGAAAGCCTAAGAGTTACGTGGGACACTATTAAGAGGAATAATGTACATTTAATTAGAATTCCAGAACAGGAGTAGAAAAGAAAAAGCACAGAGAGAATTGTGGAAGATTTATTGGCAGAAAACTTCCCTAATATCATGAAAGATAAGAAGGTTTCCATCTGAGCTCAACGAACCCCATACAGGAATGACTCCAAAAGAAACTCACCGAGACATATCATACTCAGATGTTCCAAAACCAAAGACAAAGAATTCTGA